GAAAAATATATAGAAGGCATCTAGATTGGAAAAGAATAAGTAAGACTATATTAATTCACAAATGACATGAACTTGTATTATAGAGAATTCTAAATAATCCATGAAAAAAACTACTAGAACTAATAAACAAGCTCTTAAAGTTGTAGGATACAAGGTGGATATTCAAAAATCAATCCTATTTCTATACATTGCCAATGAGCTATCCAAAAGTGAAATAAAGGAAACAATTCCATTTACAATAGGATCAAAAATAATAAAATATTTAGGAATAAATTTAATAAAAGATGTACAAAATTTATACCCTGAAACTATAAAACATAGTTCTAAGAAATTAAAAAAAGATATAAATAAAATGAGAAAACATCCCATGTCAATGGATTGAAAGATTTAACATTGTTAAGATGGCAATACTCCCCAAACTAAGCTATAGATTAAACAAAATCCCTACCAAAATCCCAACTTGCTTTCTTGGAGAAACTGACAAGGTGATCTCAAAATTCATAATTCATATAAATATATAAATTCCTATATATATAAATTCATATATATATGAATATATATATAAATTCATATATATTTGGAAAGGATCAGAATGGCTAAATCCATCTTGAAAAAGAGTAAAGTTGAAGGATACACACTCACCAATTTCAAGACTTACTAAAAAACACAGTAATCAAGACAGTGCGTTACTGACATACAGTTACAAATAAGCATATAGATCAATGGACTAGAACTGACAGTCCAGATGTAAACCATGTGTCACTGATCTGTCTTTCCACAGGGGTGCCAACACCACTCAATGGTAAAGAATAATATTGTTAACAAACGGTGCTGGATAAAATAAGGATAAAATAAGACAGTTACAGGCAAAAGGATAAAATAAGACAGTTACATTACACCATACACAAAATTTAACTCAAAATAGAAAAAAAGACTTAAATATAACACCAAAAATTATAAGACTCATAGATGAAAATATAGGGGTAAATAGACCTCAGATTTGGCAATGTATTCTTGGATATGCTCTTGCTTACCAAAAACATGAGAAACAAAAGAAAAAATATGCTATGTTGTGCAGGCTGGAAAAACAAAAACAAAAAAGAAGATTAAAAAAGAAAAGAAAAAATAGATAAATTGAACTTCATCAAAATTTAAAAACTTCTGTGCTTCAAAGAACATGATCAATAAAGTAAAAAGACAACCCACAAAATGGGAGAAAATATTTACAAATCATATGTCTGATAAGGACTTGTATCCAAAATATATAAAGAAGCCTTCCAACTCATTAATAAAAAGACAACCTGATTTAAAAACATGAAAAGGGTTTGGGTAAACATTTCTCCAAAGAAGATATACTAATGGGCAATAAGAAAATGAAAAGATGTCCATCTGTTAGTCATCAGGAAAATGCAAATCAAAACCACAAGATACCACGACACACTTACTAGGATGGCTAAAATCAAAATGTTAGATAATAACAAATATTGCTAAGGATATGGAGAAACCAGAACCCTCATACACTACTGGTGGGAATATAAAATGGTACAGACACTTTGCAAAACAGTCTGATACTTCCTCAAATTGTTAAACATAGATTTGTCATAGGACCCAGCAATTCTATGCCTAGGTATACACCTAACAAAAATGAAAATGTATGTCCACACAAAAATTTGTACATGAAAGTTTATAGCAACATTATTCATAACAGCCAAAAGGTAGAAAAACCCCCACACATCCATCAACTGATGAATGGATAAATAAAATGTGATATATGCATACAATGTAATATTATTTGGCCAGAAAAAGCAATGAAATATTGATATATGCTACAAAGATGAACTTTGAAAACATCATGCTAAGTGAAAGAAGCTAGTCACAAAAGCCATATATTATATGATTCCATTTGTGTGAAATGTCCCGAGTAGACAAGACAGAAAGTAGATCAGTGGTTGCTCAGGGCTGGTGGGAATGAGAAGGAGGGTGATAGCTAAAAGGTACAGAGTTTCTTTCTGAAGTGATAAAAATATCCTAAAATTGAGTATGGCGACATTTGCCCCTACTTGTGAATATATGAAAAACCACTGGATTATACACATTAAATGGGTGAATTCTGTGGTATACAAATTATATTTCAGTACAATTATTTTTAAAAATTTAACAACATGCTACAAAATATCTGACCAGTACTCTTCAAAACTGACAACGTCATTCAAAACAAGAAAAGTCTGAGAAACTGTCACAAACCAGAGGAGGCTAAAAAGACACAATGACTAAATGCAGTGTGACATTCTGGATAGGATACTGCAGCAGGCAAGAGGCATTAGGGGGACACTACTGAAATCTGTGTAGAGGGTAGAGTGCAGTTAATAGCAAAGTACTGATGCTGGTTCCTTACTTGTGACAAACGGACCCCAGTAACGTCGTAAGATGTTAACAACAGGGGAAACGGGGTAAGGGGTGTACAGGAACTCTCTGTATTATCTTTGCAACTTTTCTATGAATCTAAAACTATCTTAAAATACAATGTTTATTTAAATTTTTAAAAAAGGAATCACTCCCCTAGTCCAGTATTTCCCCACCTCTCTTATTTTTATAAGTTTGCTGTAGATAACTGTGAGCCTCCTTTGTGGAGAGGCCGGTGAAAGGTTAGGGGTGAATGCTGAAAGGGTGGGGGTCACACCTTTAGATATCATTAAAAAGGAAGACAAGAAGTAGAAAAAAAGTATGGCGGAGGCTGGCACCTAATCCTGGTGGCCAAAGTTGAGATTTGGCTGCAAATATTTAGGAGGTTAAAGAGGAGCAACCGAAAGAGCGGGAGGGGCCGGGCTGGGTGCAGAGGACCGGAGGGATGAGGGGTGGGAAGTAGGCAATGCTAAGGGGCAAAGAAAGCACAGCAGCCACAACGCCCCTCTCCAGGTCAGACAGATTGTTATTTTTCTCTGCGGGATGGTTGTTTACAACAGTTTATTCCTCACAAAGCGCTAGAGGGGACACAGATGACCACGGTCTCCTTTTCTCCTGGTACTTCCCACTGGACTAGCGTCCTGAGAGGCATACATGCTTTGTGAAGTGTTGTTTGAGGACACAGCCTTACCGGAATATCTTATCAACATAGACTCTATTGCCAAAACAAGCAAATGTTCAAGATGTAGGACTCTAATAAAAATAGCAAGCCAAGAATCTGATCGGAATACAGAAAGGAAGTTACTTTGCAGACATTTTATTGGGCATTTACTACAAATTGTGTCCTAAGTCAGAGGTTAGAGGTAGGAGACAAAAATACACTCTCTGCTAGCTCCGGAGAAACTCAGGAAAAGTCTGTGTGTGATCCAAGGAAGTGAAGAAGGGAGTGGTCCTAAGAGAGAGAAAACCTAAAAAGGAAGAAAGGAAAAGGTCACATACACACACACACACACACACACACACACACACACACAAATGCAAAGCCAAAGGCTAACAGTAGGAATATACGCCAGTCTCCTGCCTCTCCCGCAAAAAGTCAAGTCAAAAGAAAAGCCACCCAGGGAGTAAGCGTGGAAAGGAGACATGAGAAGCAGGGATCCTGGCAACACTCCTTGAGCATTTGTTGTGTACCTGTCTGAGCCACGCTAAGAAACCGACATGCCTTACGGCATCTAATCACATGACTCTGCAGGGAGGTCTATTTTTAATCCCCATTTTCCAGAATGTGAGGTTTAGTTTAAAGAGGTTCCGTGACTTGTCCGAGGACACACAGGTAGGAAATACTGAAACTGAGGGAGTCTTTCTCCAGGTCCATGTGCCTAAACTCTGTACAACTCTGCCCAGACAAATGGATGTGGGTGAAGAGAAACAGATTATTTCCTTGTTTTAAAATGAAACTTTGCACAGGGATGAAAGAAACAATCAAGATCTAAGTGTTCCATCCTTAAGTCCAGCCTCACCAACAAGGTGTGCCTAATGAAGGAAGAAGGAAGGAAAGAGAAATGGTAAATGCAAGAGTGTTAGCAACCACTCCAGGGAGCCCCTGCTATTCTGCAAGGTTGGAAGGAGGAAGCGGCCTCAGCTCAGAGTTAGCACTTCCCAAGCCAACACTATTGATTCAGTGAGACAGTGACACAGCAGAATGAATTAATAAACATGTACTCAGAGCCATTATTGCTGCAGAATAACATATGCATGCAACTAGTGACAATTTTAAGGTGAGCAAGAGGGGTACCTAGAGACAGTAAGAAAAGGAAAGGGGAAATATATGTTGAACAATTGCAAAGAGTCAGAGCAATTTGTTTGTTTGAGCTGAGACATGTCAACTCCCTTGGGCAGAAGCCTTGTGGCCACATCACTGCATGGTTATTCCAGTTAGGTGCATAAATGAATGGTTATGAGTTCTGGACATACTATACACAGTATGTAGTAGAAGCAGGCCCACACGTTTTGAGTAATGTATGGAAATGTCTTGGCCATATTTCTCGTGCCAGAAGGTATTATAGCCAACACGGGAGTAAGTGTGCCACCTGAGACACGTTGCAAAGTCTCTCATTCAGTTTGGGTTCACCCAGACATTTGGGGGCAACAGGCTCTCTTCCACCCATACGCTTGACTTCTAGACCACAGATCTCTCCATCTTTATTCACTGTCTCCATTCCAAGATCAAAACTGGATCTCCTATTTGTCACTTTGCCTGTTGCTAATGTGACTTCACATTTCATAAATCTGAATATATGAATTTTAAGAAATTATATATGAGGTGTGAATATCTTTGTGTAGTTGGAACCCACTTGAAGGATCCTTTTATAAAGTCGCATTTTCTTACATTTGCCAATAAGAAATTCATGGTAGATTTTCTTTCTCAAATGCCTTCCTAGTACATTCATTATGTATTCTGAATCAGAAAAATATGACTGTGCAGAAGCACGTATGTTGTGTAAATTGTGAGCTGCACCTATTTTGAAATGAAATATGGGTACAAGTTGTGAAATTGGACGCTGCTTAGGGAAGACATTATCTGGGGATCTACTTACCACCATGGATAATAATTAATACCAACAGTTCTCAGCATATACTGCGGTGCTCCTCCAGTTATCAATGCTGAATTCTATTTCAATGGAAAAAAAAAATCACAGGATATTAGTACCAGAGAACAAATTAGAATACATTTTGTTGACCCTCTTACTTTTTAGATGAAGACTCCAAAATCCACAATGTTAAGTGGCTTATTCAAGATCATGGAGCTTTGCAAGTCTGGTAAACATCTCAAGACTCATAAACATTTTTAAACTTGGTCTCAGCCTATGTGGCCCAATCTACTGAGGACATGAAGTCCTCACAATAATTTCCTCTCATTCCCAGGCTACAGAACCAAGCAATACTGTTACCCAGAAAGAATTGGGTGTCAGGGGCGGGTCCAAGTTTTGGGGGGCTTGAAGTTTATAAATCTTGAAAGTCCTTCCAAGAAAAACAATACTAAACAACAAATATAAAATTAGGTACAATAAGAGAATATTTACTTAGAATGAGGAAATAAAACAGTTATTTTTTAAAGTAGACAAGTATCACATATATCACAAATACAGAAAGATAATGTAATGTTTTTATTAACTAACTTTCTAACAGGCCTATAATACTTGTTCCTCTATATTTGGCTGAATACTCTTTGATGACTTTTTTGCATGACAATGATTTTGTGATTTCTTTCCTGTAGGAAAAATAGAAAGATATTTTATTCTTTCCTCTGGCATGGTTGATCAAAACTTGTCTTTTATTATTGATAGTTTATATTGGTGGTATTGTCATGTAAACTATTAGGGTAGTTGTCAAATTTTGGGAAACTTTCATCAAAGATTTTTTCATATAGATAAGGGGTAAGATTTAGAAAAATGTTCTACAAACTAGCTCCTGGCTCTATTTATTTGAAATATTATCACTCTTCATATACACATGTACTCCCTATCTCAGGCATCTTATTGGAATACTGTCAAAACCTTCTCAGACCCAGGTAAGGGGGAATCTACACTTTATTGGGCTACATTCTACTCCTCCTCCTTGGTGTCAATTTGCACATGGCAAGATGTCTATAGGGTTAGGAGGTATGTCTACTCAAAGCCCATGCCCCCTACTTCTCCTTCTTCTGTTTTAAAATGGGGTCTCACTCTGTCTCCCAGGCTGGAGTACAGTAGTAGGATCACAGCTCACTGCAGCCTCAAACTCTTAGGCTCAAGCAACCCTTCTGCCTCAACCTCAGGAGTAGCCGGGACTACAAGCACATGCCCCATGCTTGGATCTTGGTCCAAGTACATGGGGTCCTAGAATTTCTTGTTCCTACAGATCCTACCTAGACCTCTTCCTGGCATCTGTCCTTCTAAGGGCAGACCGTACTCCCCGAGTGAGCATTCCTTGGGCAACCTTGGAGCCACGGTCAGAGCTCATGCAAATGAGGAGCCCTAAAGCTTAAAGTGTATGAGCTTCATGGCAAACCACCCTGACATGGCACCCAGAGGCTCTGTGAGGAAGCCTTTTCCATCTTGAAGCCCAGCACAATCTGGAAGTTCTCTATTCACCAAAAGTACAGTCTATAAAATCCTCATATCACTTCCTCGTGGCAGCCATGCAGAGTAAGCAGTTGGAAAGAGCTGGAAGACATAGAAATGTGCATGGCTCTCAACACAGCAATCTTCCTGGACAACGAGTAAGCAGCAGCAGACACCTTGCCTGCGTGCCCTCCTGATCGAACGCATCTCCACCTCGGCAGCCCTCAGAGGGCAGCCCCACTGCCCAGTGGTGCCTTCAGTGTTCTCATCTGGCAGAAGTTGGGCACCTGCTCCTCAGACCTAACCATTCCCCTGTCTCTTTCTCCTTCTTAACTTCACAACACACCAGGCATCCATCTCCCCTTGACCCCACAACAGCCCAGGATGCTGACAAAGTGAACCCTCTGGCCACAGTCGATGGAGGATACACTCCCATTCTCTTCCAGCATCACGCCTTGAAGAGAGGCAGGGGAGGGAGTGTGGCAAGCAGCAGCCCAGAAGACTGTCCACCCTAGTCTAAACTGAAGATGTTTTAAGACAAAACTGATCATCTGGGCTCCCACGCCCCGAGGATTGGTTTCCCAAGCAGCCACCCTCTCATGTTCCCTCCCAGCTCCCCTCGAGCCCTTTGCCCCAGGGGCCCATGATCTCCCCCTGCCACTGCCCCATCTGCTCAGGACATCCCCCGGGTAGGCAAGAGCATCCTCCTTGTGACAGCTCTGGGCAACCCTGGCCAAGCCAGCACTGTCCGGCGTGCACCCGCCTCCCAGTGTCTGCTGGGGCTCTGGCCGTCTGTCCCCACCGTCTGAGGTCCCATTTCCAGGCCCTTTTATTCACATTCAGGTTATGAGACGAATAACATCCCCTGCCTCGAGGTATGTGTTTTTACACAGAGGACAAAGTCTTAAGCAAAAGATTCAAAGTCAACAAGAACAAGCTTTAATAAAATATCTAATATAGAGAAATTTTAGGAAAACTTCTAGGCATCTCAAAGAGGGCAGCGTATTTAAATCCTCACAACCGCCCTGTGCCGGGAAGAAATAAAGAGACTGCGAGCTTTGGGGTAGTTAGCAGGGGGCTGAGGGGTGACCTGGGAGGGGGCTGGGTGGCTTGTCACAAAAGTCAGAAGACCACCCGTGGTGGGTGGGGACGGCCGACTCCGTTGGAACCCGCCTGCGGGCTTCTCTCCACACACAGTGGAAAGGCCTTCGTTGGGGGCAGGGGTGGCCGTCCGAGCCGGGCTTCCCATTTTGCATTCCCTGCGCTGCGGGCCCCGCCGAGTGGGGGCGGGGCTGGGGAGGGGCATCTGGAAGGAAAAGGACACATTTAAAAGGAAGGATTTACGAGGCCATGAAGATGTTGCTCCCAGACTCCTGAGTGCAGGAGTATGACTTATTTATTTTATTTTCATTTGTAACCAAAACCTTCCCCTGACTCCCATTGGCCCCAGCCGGGAGGGGAGAGAGGGCCGGCCCGTCAGGCGTTGAGCCGGGCCAACGGGAGACAGCGTGGCGTGATGCTGACGCGGCCGCTGACAGGCGGCGGGCCCAGGGGAGCGCCCGGCAGCCAAGCCGCCAGGTAGCGAGCCGACGGCTGGGGAATTGCTAAGAGGCGCCCGGCTGGGGGGGGCAGGATGGTGAAAGAGTTGGGCTCGGGAGAAGGTGCGATTTTGCGATGCACCAGCACTGTTGTTTGCCACTCCCCTTGGAGCCCTCTCCACCCCGGCCCCACCAGGCTCTCCACGGTTCAGTCTCCTCCCTCGCTGCCCCCACCACGGTGATCACTCCTGCAGTCCCCCTCCCTAGTCAATAATGTCTCTCTCCCCCTCTCCTTTTGGGAGAAGGAAGGCAGCAGATGAATACACATTAATAACATCAAAATGTCACTTAGTGATCAGCTGGCGAGGGGCAGTCTCTCTGCTGTCCTCAAGGCAACCTACTGAGTGGCGATCTGCAGCGCCAGAGGAAAGGACGGCTGCTGGGGCGTGGGGGGACACAGGCCGGGGAAGGACGGGCACGGCTGCGTCCACCTGCCTGGATTCGTGCACTCACGGTGCAAAAGCGTAAGGTGCATGAACTGTCATGAACTATCGAAGGCCTCAGGACTGCCTGGTCCACACTCCCCGGGGAGAGGAGCCTAGGGAAAAGAGGAGATTGTGTCCCTCAGCTGGAGTTCTTTTTTAAGAGAATGGACGATGGGAGGGAAAGGGAGAGCAAAGCTTCAAGCCTATGGGCAATTCCTGAATCCTGCTCAGAACGGTGACCCCAACCTTTGCACTTGCATGCCCATTAGTTGAGAATCTCAGAATTCTTCTCAAAGTCTTCCTATTTTGGAAAATCCACCATCCTTTTTTGTGCAAAAAACAACAAACAAAATAAAACTTGGCTCATCAGATTGTGGTTAGTTCCTGGTCTTTTTCTATCACTTTTCTGCACAATGTTTAAAACTATGAGCCTCCTGCTGACCTCACCCTCATCACTGCACATAACCACACAGTCCTCTTACTCGGGATGACGCAATAGCAAAATCGTCACTTCTTAAATGGCAGGACAGATGCTGCCAGATCTGACGGCTGGAATATTCAGATGGATTTAAACGCCTGGTAATTCTCAGCAGCTGCAAGGTCACACGCTTCCTGTCTGATTACCCGTGAGTCTCCTCCACCCCACCACCTCCTATCTGGGCCAGAGTTGTATCATCCCCCATCTACAGATGGAACAACAAAGGCCCAGCGGAGTGAATGTGATTTCATGAGGGGGTGGAGTTGGGGACACACTGTTGCATCATCGGGGGGCCTCGTGTTATTATATGCTATTGTGAAGCCAGGCTTCAGTCTACACAAGAGTGGGAGCCTCAGAGTTCAGCCTGGACACCTGCTTGGGCTAGAAGAAGTACTTAGGCCTGAGTTCTGGACTTAGAATTACCACTTAGCAATCAGTTTAATCATATCACTCACCTGCTTACAATCCTCCTATGGCTCCCTATCGCCCTTAAGACAAAACCATAACCCCTCACTGTAATACTCAGGACCCTGCATGACCTGACTTTTGCACGTCTCTCTCACCCCATCTCACTCCTCTCTCCCTCTCACTTACTACTCCTCAGTCACAACAGCTTGCTTTGTGTTCCTTAAGTCTCCCAGGCTTGCTTTCATTTCATTATCTTTGTACCTGTTGTTCCCTCTGCTCACAAGGTCCTAAAAGTGCCTGGAGTTGCCAATCATCTGGCCTTCAACAAACACTGGGTTACTCAATGAGTAGGTGAAGCACAACTATAGGACGATAATATTGCAATGGCATTCTCTCCCCAAAGGGTTTTTCTAGGGAGGGGAATTTGAAATTTGATTTTTTTTAATCCAAGTAACGATCACGAGGAAAATAAGAATCTTTCATTTGCTCATTCATTTATTCATTCATTTAGCAGCCATTTATCAAGCACCTTCTATATTGGACTTCATTATATTCATGTGGTACTGCCTGTATTTGAATTATACGCCTGAGCAAAGCTGGGGAATCCCCTCTACAGTGTTTAGGGCTCTAGAAGTTCCAACCTAGCTCTGGTGTCAGCTCATGGGTCACCCCATCAGAGATGCTTTTCCTGATGATATTATAAATGTAGCTATCCTCGCCTTCCCTCCACTTTCTAACACATAACCCTGTTGTATTGCCTTCACAGAATTTACCACCACCTGAATTCATTATTTATATATTTACTTCTGTACCACCTGTCTCCCCTAACTGGCATTTGAGTTTGATGAAGGCATAAACCTAGTCTGTCTTAGTTAGTCACCACCAGCACACAGAACAGTGCCTGGCACAAAGAAGATGCTTGAGAAATATTTGCTAAATAAATGAATTAACGAACAAATGAATGAATGTGATCTCAGGTTAGCCACCTAACCTCTCTGAGCTTTAGTTTTCTCACCTTTAAAGTAGGACCAACACTAATATACCTACCTGTTTCAAAGTGTTGGTGAGAGTTTGAAATAAAATATACGTATGAGACTCAGTTTCCCAGAAAACAGAGCCTGAGGCAAGGATTAAGTGTTGGTACTTTATGTGACAGGGCATTGAGAATGAGGACAAAAGGAAAAAAGACAGAAAGAAGGAGAAGAAATGAAAAGTGGATGAGTTACCATGTTGATCACTGCTTCTTGTGAAGCCACAAAGGGACACAACCGGTCACTTGGCAGGAGCATCCACTAAACCACATAGGACATCTTATATGGAGAAACTCTACCTTGAAGCAATTTATCAAGAGAGAATAAAATACTAGTCAATATTCACCACTGGAGAGTTTATTGCCCACACTTCCTGATTGCCTCATCCTGATCACCTCCCCCCAGGACCCCAAGAAAGCCACCCAGGAAGCCAACTCCTGTGTCCTTTATGGCATTTCATGCAAGTCTGGAAGTGGCTAGAAGACCAGAGTCTCCAGGCCCATAGCAGGTTGACCATAAGAGGTGAGGGCCTGCAGCCCTACATAAAATCCTTTGGCTTCAGGTGTAGCAGCTACCTCAGAACAAGCAGCTGAGAGTTCAGCCCAGGGGACAAGTGAGGATGAGAGAATCTCATAAGCGGGGAGATTTCCACCAGGATGAGAGGATACAAATAAGATATTTTTGATACAGTGTGAGAAAGTAGCTTGAAAACTGTAAAGCATCAAACAATGAAAAGTGATGTTGTTTTATTGGTCTTTTTTTTAAAATTCAAGTGTCTTTCCAGCTCATAGTCTCTGCACTTGTATAGGTTTAATGAGCTTTCAACTAGACTGTGCAAATGAAAAGAAGTCTTCCCTGTTTCCACCGTTATTGTTGAAACAGCACCTCTCTGAAAAAAGCCACTTCATCTCCTCATAAAAATCCTTCTATCCAAAATAGGAAACATAAATGTGTTCTGTTAAAGTAGGTTTTTTTTTCTTGCTATGTTTAGTTTATATTCTTGAGAGAAAGTGGCAAATATGAGCAATCCATATGGGAGTTACTTTTCAAGTTAACCCCTTGTGTCTTGATTCTCTCTCCAGCACTCTGTTCTACACCATCAACTTTCTGGAGCCCATTCTTATATTGTCTACACAGTGATCAATTTTCACACCTCTCCAACATGTCGTTAAATGCTAATAGCACAGAGCCCCTGTAATGGTCAGGACGAAAAGATTTCCTGGCCTGAAATGCCTCCATCAGCAATTACATAACGTGTTGACATGTGGACCCCTCATCAGGTTTTATCTACAAATCCAAGACCTGTACTATTAGGGTCAGCCCTAATAGGGGGTCAGCCCTAATGGGGATCAGTCTGGTTTGGGGTCAGCCTGCATTGAGGAGCTACATTCCGGAGCTCAGTCAAATGAAATGCCTGAAATACAGTAAGATACACACATGCACACACACACAAACACAAACACATGTCATGTATATAATTCATTTAAAAAGGACTGAATGAATGAATGTAGTCAGTTTAGAGTAGAAATTCAAAAATTAAAAGCAAAATCTCAGGCTCTAGAACAAAACTGCCTGAGTTCAAATCTCAGCTTTATCATAAACCAGCTATTGGGACATTGGACAGTTTGCTTAACCTCTAGGTGCCTCAGTCTGTGCCTTGATTTTTTCACCTTTAAAATGGGGATAACAATCATATCTACCCCACATATTTGTTGGGATGATTGAATGATGCATGGACTGGAAGTCTTTTAGTGCGGTAAGGGTACCTAGTGCACAGTAAGCAAGAGATGTAGGTGAGCTTGGAAGATCATTTCAAATGTACCCAGTGCACCCCCTTGCCTATCTAAATCTGGGAAAGAGTGTCGTTTTCCATCATGCCAGCTGCCTTCACTAGTTCAACCAGACCCAGGCTTACACATGTTTAAAATCCCGTGTAAAACCTGCCTTTAAAAATTTGTGTAGCCAAAGGGAACCTCATACTGGTCATGGCATTTTATGTCGCTTTGTGATACATTGTGTTTTTAAACACGGTGGTGTCAATTGATTCAAGTATTTTATTGAACAATTTTACTGTTCTTGTGCCCAGAGGCTTTTTAAAGCAGAGACCAATTTTTCAAATCAAATAGATAAATGTATAGTCATTGTATTTGAAATAACAGCAGCACAAGCAGTAGGGCTAGAATTTCCACGTGGGCTATATAACTATTTGCCTAATAGCCTGGAAGTGCTCCTAAAATTTAGGGGAGAACAGTGGGAGCTGGTGGCTGAACTTCACCGCCACCATCCGAAGCCTTTTACATGCCATCACCCAGGCCTGAAATCTGTGTCCCTAAAGTAACTGCCAAGATCTTGGCCACATGGGAATCATCATCCCAGGGACAAGTAGTCTGACCTCAACTATTTCTCAAGTGCCTTTGACATCCAGTTTTGTCTCTCCCCATCGATGGTAGAATAATGAATAATGAGTCACCATTTAAGATTATTCCTGTAAACCGTTGCGTGTAACTATATTGCACACTGCAAATCACCTTAATCTTAGTACAAAATAGCTCTCTACTATCCAAAATATAAACAGTTTTCTTATGGAAACACTGAAATTAAAGAACTTTAAAAGTCAGCATCATTTATAGTAGAGCATTCTAACCATATGTTCCTCCTAATGTGATGCAATATGGAATATACAACATCACTTTTGAAGAATGTTTAACCTAAATTGAACCAAGTCTAGGGGATAGAGGAAAACATTAAGTAAGGCTCATTAGAACATTAAGAAACATCCAGAACGCGGGATGTTCTACAAGATAGCTGGCCTTGTCTCTCAAAAAGTGTGATGTCATGAAAAAAAATGAGGGGTGGAGTCTGTTCTAGATTAAAAGAGACTAGAAGCACCAAATGGAATGCATAACCTTGAATGGTTTCTGGTTTGAAAAATATAAGATATTTTGGGGACGGTTGGGAAAATTTAACTATTATAATAGATAATATTAAAGAATTACTACTCATGGCCCTAGATGTGATTATACTGAAGAATGTTCTCATTTTTAGTTTTAAAATTAATTTATTTATGTCTTTATACATAAGTCAAAGTGATGTTATAGTACATACATTGTTTACAACCATACAGTAATGCATTGCAAGATGAATTATCTGGAAGACAGCAAAACATGATGTGGATGTATGTATCTCTACGGCATTTACAGACATACTTTCTACATGATTATGGGCTCTGTAGTGTTTCAAGTGTTCTGAGAAAGAAAAACAAAATGCCTAAGATTAAAGAGAAAAATATACAAACCAGGGAAAAACAAGATGGGAGAATTCTGGCCTTGTGGCCCTGTGTGGCCAGGCAGCTGGCGCAGTCGGGTCCTCACTGGGCACCAGTGTCCCCAGCCCAGGTGGCAATAGTACCGTGAGTGGGATGGCTCTCTCCTATCACTCTGCCCTGGAGCTCACTAAAATTGTTCTTATTTTTAGAAGATTCACACTAAAGTATTTAAATGTGAACAATTATATCCAAATGACTAGTAAAATATTAATAATTGCTGGATCTAGGTGATTGGAAGGTATGTAGGTAAATAATTGTACTATCCTTTCAATTATTCTGTATATTTGAAAATTTTCATATAAAGTACTTTTGAAAGGTGGGTTTCCCTGTGTGAACTTCTGAAGTTATTAATAATTTAGGCACTTTGAACTCACGTTTCTACTTCATGCATGGAGGGTTGTTTGAGGAAGAAAGGGCACCTCTTAAAACCTGGCCTCCATGCCCTGTCCAGTGCACTGCGAGATTTCTCTGAACTCTTGGTCATCACATCAAAGGAAATATGTGATAATTACTCTTTACATGTGTTGACCTAAATAACAGAGGAAGGCTCTCTAAAAGAATAATTCTTTATTTGAGAATAAAGCATTGCAATGGGAATATGCATGGCACAGTAAACTGTGTGTATATTCAGGGAGGTAAAGAAAGACAAAGGTTTTTAAGGGGAAAAAAAATGAGGAAGAATTATATAATTGTTTTGAAATAATTATCCTTGGCTAGAAAGATCAATAACCAGGGTGATGCCAGTCCAAGTTTGGACAGGCAGTTGCTGAGCAGATGTCCTTGCAGAAATATTTTTTGTATAATGTTGTGATGGCTTTTGTGCAAGGTCATGATTTTTGTAGTCTTTTTTGTTATCATGCATACAAGCATGGGAACCCTCTCTTCATCGCCTTCCCTGGCTCTATTTGTCAGGGTTCTCTTAACATTAGTGACTCCATTTGGATTCTGACAACTTTCACACATGTAACTTTTGCTAAGAGTTGCATGAGCAAACAGATGAGGTACAGAATATTTCATGTATGTAATGAAATATATGAAATATTTCATGTATGTAATGAAATGTCCCTTGTTCATTATTTATAGACAGGGCCTCTGCAATTCTCCCTCACCTCCTGCAATCAAATGTCATGTTTCCATACCCTTCCATAATGCAGCCTACTGAGTCCTAGGTCTTTTAAAAGTGGGGTCATCTTCTTGTGTTTCTCATAAGATTAGTTTCTAAATCTAAGATGATAGAATTTCTCAGCACAATAATTGACAAAGAAAATGCATCTTGGAACCAGATACATAGTTTTATCCTTGTGGTAGGGACATTCATTTGATTGATGAAATAGAGAGAAGCCAGGATTTGTTTAAACTGGCAGAGCGAACATTGTTTGGAATTTCTGTGTCTACTACAAGTCATAATCTTCTATTGTTGCAATCACAAATATATGAGGTTGACTGTCATGTTATTGTTATTGTGTCTGTCCCTGGGTGTCACGACCAGGATATATCACAAATGCACATGAAATTGTTCATAGTCAGGGGTCAAAGTAGAACTAAAACACAGGACCTGAACAACTGATTATATTTTGAATTGTTTTTGTTTGGAGGATTTACTCCCCTGGAAAATATTTTAGTCTGCCAATTTCTACAAAGAATTCTTCTACTAGCAAAATGGATATTACTCTGTTGTAAGACATTAACAGAATATAATCTCATCTAGACCCCTGCTTCTAGGATGTCTCACAAAGAGAGTATTGTATTCTTTTCTTTTAAAAAAGAAAACTGTGCACATTTATGTGTGTTATGTTTTCATTCTTTTATTCTTTGGATTTATTAAGTTTCCACTGGATAGCAAGCACAGTTCTAGGTACTAGAATAGAAAACACATAGAAAATCACACAACATAGAAAAATCAGGATTACACTCTAATGGGGAGTGGAGGCAGCTTAATAATGAACACAGACAATGAAGCCTGGGGTGGGAGGG